GCCAGGAAGTTCCACTAAGTCTATCACACAGTCTATTGTGGGGAAAAGTTTGCCCCCTGGAAAATGTACAGGGCTCAGAGAGCATTTCTGCTGAGATCTGTAGAGGCCCTGTGCCTCCACAGTGGTCATGTACCTATCTGATCTCTCTGGGTAAATTAGAATGACTTGGTTATTAGCTTGCCTACAGAAGTTCTGAGCTTAAGTAAGAACTTACGTAGTGCATAGGCCTTGAGCTGGCCCTCTTCATGGGATAAACTGCATCAGATGCAATTACTTGTATACACATACAAATATTTGCTAGTCTTCATCTAAAAAGTTCAATCAGTTAGCGGAAACAAAACCATATGAGCAATCATACATTGTGAATAAAACAATTCTGACCAAAATGTTTGGGTTTTTTTCTTTCAAACTATTTAGCAAAGAATTACATCCAATGAATCCTTTGGCAGAAATGTGGCTTAGGTTGCAGGTAACTTGTAAGTAGAAGAAAGGCTAATTTTGCAATGAATGTTAGTGAATGAACAAATCCTGCAGTGTTCTCACTAGTCTCATTATATCTGGTGATTATTCTTAAAGCCCTAGCTCATGTAGTCATGTGAACTGATGAGAATCTGAGCTTACTCTTTTTTCTCTTTTTTTTTCTTCTTAGTTGTCATGGTCTTCATACACTTATAGCCTATAAAGCCAGAAGAGGCCATTGTGATAATCTAATTTGACCTCCTGTGTAAACACAGGGCATACAACTTCCCTGAATTAACTTCTGTTTGAACTACAGCATATCTTTTTGTAGAAAAACATCCAATCTTGATTTCAAGTGATGGAGAATCCACCACAACGTTTAGTAAACCGTTCCAATGGTTAATTACTTTCACGGTTAAAAATGTGGGGCATATTTCTAATCTGAATTTCATAGAATAAAAGAAATTTGTCTAGTTTCAACTTCCATCCATTGGATCTTTTTATATCTTTGTCAACTAGCTTGAAGAGCCCTCTATTAAATTTCTGTTCCCCATTTAGGTACTTATAGATTATGATCAAGCCCCTCCCTCCAACTTTCTCTTTGTTAAAATAAACAGATTGAGCTCCTGGACTCTATCACTTTAAGGTATGTTTTCCATTCCTCTAATTATTCTTGTGGTTCTTCTCTGAACCCTCTCCAATTAGTCAACATCCTTTTTGAACTGTAGGCACCAGAACTGCACACAGTATTCCACTAGCAGTTGCACCAGTGACTAATGAAGAGGTAAAATAATCTCTCTTTCATTCTCAAGAGTCACCGGCTTATACATTCAAGCATTAGCCTTTTGGGATTCAAAATCAGACTGTGAGCTCATGTTCACCTGATTATCCAGGTCATTGATAAACATGTTCAATAGCATAGGGCCAAGAATCAATCCCTGAGGGACCCCACAGAAAAGTTTAAAAATATAAACAATATGTACCCTACAGGTTCAAAAACCAGAAGGCAAATAAAAAGATCCTAATACATTTTCTTACTCCCAATTCATGAGATTATCTGATTCATGAGTTTTGAAAAATTGGGCTTGGCCGTACTGATATTATTCACAACAAATGATTTAAGTTTTTTGTTGCAGCTTTTTATCCCATTATTGATCAGATTTTCAGCACATGTAAATGGACATAGCTTCATCAGTCAATAGTTACTTATACCACCTGAGGATCTCTCTCTGTGTATCCGACAGGTGGACTGGGTACACAGAACTGCAACTGTCACTAGTTACTTCTTTGCACAAAGATCATTTAAATCACATTGGATCCATAGTGCTACTCATTTCAAAATGGATTAGTATCTACTAGGTACATAGGAATGGGAATTACCAACTGGATCAGAGACAAGTTCCATGTAGTCCAAAATCATCTCTCTGTCAGTGGTCAGTACACATGCTTCGGAGAAAGGTATAAGAACCCCACAGTAGGCAGATGTAGAATAATCTGCTCCCTGCATAAGCTTCTTCCTGGTTGATAATAGTTTGCTTTAAGCCTTTGAGGATACGCTTTAATATCCCTTCCAAACTATTTGTTGTCATTTAATCATAATGATAGATTAATTTTGCCACCCTTTGATTTAAAAAAAAAAAAAAACCTGACAAATTTGTGCAGAGAAGATCTCAGATTTCTCAGCCCCCTCTTTACAACAGTCTGCCAAACTGCCTCCACATGTCTTCTGTGCTTGCTTGCATAGATCTCAAGCGCTTAAGGCACAAACAGCAATTCATTAACTGTCAGGAAATGCCTCACCCCATTAGTCACTACTGCTTCAATGCAAATAAATTAAGGACAGGTGAACAGTTCTGTTGAGCTATGTGGAATGATGTGAATGACTGATTATTTTACTGCTTTCCGAGAGTCACTGTTATGCAGTCCACACTCTAATTATAGGCTTAATTCAATAAGATGTACCCTAAACTTCCATTAGTCAATTGGCCCAATCCTGCTCTAGCTGGTGTCCTTGATAAAGGAACTCATGGAAGAACTCAATGGGAACAGTGGGTACTCAGTAGTATCTTCACAATTAGGCCCTATGTAAATGAAGAATGTAATGTATATGTAGTTTATTTTGTAGGAAGGAGTTCAATAAGCTAAATAGTAACAGGTGACATATCACTGAAAGAACTCAAATCCTGTTTGATCTGGATGTATAATATAGTCTTTATTATAACTGTCATTCTTATCAGTAGGAAGTTGGCCAAGATTTCCACTGTTAATTAACAAAATTATATCTAACTGACAAATTTCTACTGATACGCATCAGTGAAACAGATTTTCTTGTTTTCAGTCATGACTGCCATCAGAACTTCTCAACTGCAAGGATTCACTCAAGAGGAACTAATGAGATGATCAGGGCCTAAGAGGATTCAAAAGAGTATTTATCTATTTATTTTATATTACTTGTATTATGGTAGTGCCTAGAGGTTCCAGCCGAGATCAGGACCCTATGGTGCTGGGCATTGTACAGTTGCATAGTTAGAAAAAGCCCTTACTCCACAGAATTTATGATCTAAATAGATAGGATAGATAAAGAGAAGGGAAAACAGATGCATAGAAGTTTGCCCAAGATCAAAGAAAATGAGGGCAAGAGATGGCAATTTGAACTAGGGCTGTTCAAGCGATTAAAAAATTAATCGTGATTAATTGCATGTGAGTAATCACACTGTTTATAATAGAATACCATTTATTTAAATATTTTTGATGTTTTCTAAATTTTAAAATATATTTAAATTATAACACATTACAAGGTGTACAGTGTTCACTTTATATTTATTTCTAATTACAAATATTTGCAGTGTAAAAAACAATAGTATTTTTCAGTTCACCTAATACAAGTACTGTAATGCAATCTCTTTATCATGAAAGTTAAACTTACAAATGTACAATCATGTAAAAAAAACTGCATTCAGAAATAAAACAATGTAAAATGTTGAGCCTACAAGTCCACTCAGTCCTATTTCTTGTTCAGCCAATCGCTCAGACAAACAAGTTTGTTTACATTTGCAGGAGATAATGCTGCCTGCTTCTTGTTGATAATGTCACATGAAAGCGAGAGGAGGCATTCACATGGCACTGGTGTAGCCGGCATTGCAAGATATGCACATGCCAGATGTGCTAAATATTCATAAGTCCATTCATGCTTCAATCACCATTCTAGAGGACATGCGTTCATGCCGACAATGGGTTCTGCTCGATAATGATCCAAAGCAGAGTGGACCAACGCAAGTTCGTTTTCATCGTCTGAGTCAGATGCCACCAACAGAAGGTTGATTGTCATTTTGGTGATTCGGCTTCTGTAGTTTCTGCATCAGAGTGTTGCTCTTTTAACACTTCTGTAAGCATGCTCCAAAGCTCATCCCTCTCCAATTTTGGAAGGCACTTAAGATTCCTAAACCTTGAGAAGCTGTAGCTATCTTTAGAAATCTCACATTGGTACCTTCTTTGCATTTTGTCAAACCTGCAGCAAAACTGTTCTTAAAACAAACAACTTGTGCTGAGTCTTCTATAACATGAAATATATGGCAGTATGTGGGTAAAACAGAGCCAGAGACATACAGTTGTCCCCCAAGGAGTTCAGTCACAAATTTTATTAACACATTTTTTTAACAAGCATCATCAGCATGGAAGCATGTCCTCTGGAATGGTGGTTGAAGCATGAAGAGGCTACAAATGTTTAGCATACCTGGCAGGTAAATACTTTGCAATTCTGGCTACTAAAGTCCCATGCGAACATGTGTTCTCACTTTCTGGTGACGTAAATAAGAAGTGGGCAGCATTATCTTCTGTAAATTTAAACAAACTTGTTTGTCTTAGCGATTGGCTGAACAAGAAGTAGGACTGAGCAGACTTGTAGTCTCTAAAGTTTTGTACTGTTTTGTTTTTTTAGTACAGTTATGTAATAAAAAAACTACATTTGTAAATTTCACTTTCACGATAAAGAGATTGCACTAAAGTACTTGTATGAGGGGAATTGAAAAATATTATTTCTTTTGTTCATCATTTTACAGTGCAAATATTTGTAATAAAAATAATATAAAGTGAGCACTGTACACTTTGTATTCTGTGTTGTAATTGAAGTCAATATATTTGAAAATGTAGAAAAACATCCGAAAAGATTTAATAAATTTCAATTGACATTCTATTGTTTAACAGTGAAGAAGGGCCCCTTTCATTTAATCTACTTAGTTTGCATTTTATTCTCCGGTATCTTCTAGTTGCATTTTCTTTGCTTTGAATATTTTGCTTCTCACTTATAATAAGCCTTGTGAAAGTGACATTTGTTTTTATTATTATTTGTGTTAGCATATCTCAGAGAAGATTTTTAATACTTGGAAGAGGTAACTTTATTGGTCTTTTTTTCCAGTAAATGCCTTATACCTGTCTGATCCACTCTACCTTTCTTTTCCAGTAAATGCCTTATACCTCTCTAATTCACTATACCATTCTTTAATACATTCCTCTAGCAAATGGAAAAAGGAGAATTGTGTCCCTTGTGTGATAAGCGATTTATTACATACTCTGTATTCAAATGTTCCCTGGTAGTTACCTTCAGAGTAGCTATTACATGGTGTGACCTTTAATTCCATGTCAAAGTGAAATGTTCACTTTTGTTTGTTTGTGGATTTAAAACTACAGTCAGATCTTGTCTTTCAAATTGTAACCATCTTATGAATTTGAATTAATAAAATAGGTTATATTCCATCTATTGCTACTAAGCATAGGATTCTTCCTACATGGCAGAGCAAAATAAGTGATTTTAGAAATCCTTCCCCTCTTTCTTCTGTTGCTGTTGTAACAATTATTCACCTAACAGATGAGATTTGTTCCGAAATACTTCCTCTATTGAGTCAGACAATGCTTTTATCATACACTGCATGTGAAAAAGTACATAGATTAGCAAACAAATATTTTGAAAACCATTTGACTTGCACCAATTCCATGATTATAAACAGCAGTGTAAAAAGTATTCCATTTGCAATGTGCACAGAAGAAATTTTAAGTATGAAGCAGCTCCCCTACTCCCTTCAATTATAATGATTTTTTTCTGATAGAATTCATCCTTCGGGCATATGTATGCAAGAAACAAATCAAAAACTGACTCATTTTGTACTCTAATCAGGGTTATTAAAACTTGTTGGAAAGCCAACAGAGATTTGGATATGTTGAACTGCAGAAAAAAAGGAACTTATATTCTGTTTCCCAGATCATCTTCATAGATAGATTCATAGATTCATAGATATTTAGGCCAGAAGGGACCATTATGATCATCTAGTCTGACCTCCTGCACAATGCAGGCCACAGAATTTCACCCACCACTCCTAAAAAAGACCTCACACCTATATCTGTGCTTTGAAGTCCTCAAATTGTAGTTTGAAGACCTCAAGGAGCAGAGAATCCTCCAGCAAGTGACCCGTGCCCCATGCTACAGAGGAAGGCGAAAAACCTCCAGGGCCTTCCAATCTGCCCTGGAGGAAAATTCTTGCTATATTACACTTAAGAAAATAAAGTAAGGATTTCAGTTTTAAGATGTACATACTTTGCTGAATTTAGCTAGTACTATCAGAAAAGAGAATGCTGCTCAAAATATGTTGTGGTATAATAGGAGCTGACTTAATATAATGAGTTTATTTAACCAAGAAGTCAATTCATAGAACGTAAAAAAAGAAGAGATTTGGGTGGAAAGGAGGAGCTGGAAAAATGATGGGGATAGTAACTGGCTCCCTGTCACTCAGCAGGTGAATGTGACACTAAAGTTGACAGCATTACATACAGTAAATTACATTCACATCCATGAATGGCTCATTGAGCAATTTTGGCATTTTTATTTTTCAGGACACATACAACCATATAGCTGCTGTTCCAAATATAGAAAATATAATGTAAACAAGTAGTTAAATGTTCTTGCAGACTATTTAATAACTTCTGTACATGTAGGGTTATCAAGGAGTTCAAAGAACAATCAGCATTGCCACTCAATCATATGGCTAGTCTGAAGAATTCTCTTGTAAATTTTATATGGATTATTACAAGTGGGACTTCTTTTGCAAATACCTAGACTGTTTATTGTTCATGCACAATCTTCCCTTTATTAGAGAGGTGGAGGAGCAAGCATGCAATGTTGGAAGACCATATGCAAGACCCTGTGTATTCCATAGTAACACAACTTGTGGGGCAAGTACCCTGCATTCTCTGCAGACTGGAGATTATGAAGCAGCTACAGTCAACTGATACAATTTTGAGGGATTTTCTTGTATTAAATATGAAATGAAACTATGTATTTAGTCCAGTGTCCCATCTGAGTTCCTCAGATATTGCATTGTCTCAAATGCTCTTTAATTTTCAAGCTGCATAATTTTATATTGAAAATTCACAACTGGATCTTAAGGGGAAACTGGAGGAGGTGGCAATTGGATACTAGAGTGGACATTTGGGGCTCTTTCATCTGCATAGATATAGGAGGCATTTAGGGTCTGAGATGTTCATTAGCCAGATACGAAAGTGATATGCCCTTCATTTAATTCTTGATATTTCAAGTTAACAACCCATTGAGATGAATGTGGCCATTTGCACCTCAGCTATCGTTCAGATATGTCTGGATAGCCAGGCAGACAGGCAGCATTTATCAGTTGGTACTTCAGCTAGAAGATTTTCTTCACAATCATGAGGGAATAACACTATTCCTGTTTTTAGGGAAGGGTTCTGACACCCATTACTTTTTCAGAACTTCCTCCATTTTGAACTCTGTGTGTGTGTGGTTCTGTAAAACCAAAACATCCGTGTGTACCTGCCAGGATTTATCCCTTGGAAATCCCTTAGAATAGACCTTGTAGGGTTCACTTAGTATGCCCTCTGCAAACTGATCTCTGTCTGAACTCAGCAGAACTAATAATCAAATACATTCTAAAGGGCCATATTGGGCCTATAAAATTGGTCTGTTCTAATATAAGTGGGGAAAGAGACAAACTTGAAAATAATTTAATGGACTTTGATTCTCGTACATGATCTTGATGGGGGCATTTGAGAGCTACCCTAATAGGAATATTTACTACTACTAAAATATGCCTCTGTATGTGTACCAGTGTCTGTGCAGGTGTGTTGTATGTTTTGCACATTGATATTCTTTCAAGTTACGGGTCAGAGGCTTAGTGATTCACTCTCTGTTAGTGAAACATAACATTTAGAAGCAGCAATTAAATTCATTCTGATGGAATTTGTTCCGATTAGATTGTTAAAATGTAATCTAGCTTTTCATAATCACTCCATTAATGTGTGACACAGTTCCATTTCCAAAATTACTGGAATAGGCTACAGAATAGCAATCACTTTCATTAGAGTACATGTTTTCCCAAACTTGAATTCTTGCCCACTTACAGGTAGCATTCTCTCTGGTCCAAGAAGATCTGAACAAAATATAAACATTCCATTTTGATTAGATTTCAAAGCAGTTACTAGACACAATATAAAAATGGTCTCTTATCATTGAGCAGAATAATATATCAAAGTTGTGTTTCTTCCCTGGCGTCTTGCCCAACAGTATTGCAGAAGCTATTTTTTTGGCTGGTTGCGGTATTTGGAACATATGCCAATGGATCGGGTCGGATCAAGTAACTGTAAAAAGAAAAAAGCAGTTATAAAAGCTTGATGTAAATTAGGATAAAATGCATTTGCATGCTTCCCTAGCATGTTATTGCACAGATTGCAGTACAGCTTAAAGCGATCTCTTGCACTTGAAAGTCTTACTAAACTGGAAACTTCAGTCTTGTTTCTCATTACTTCATAGAACTGAGATCACATAGCATATTTGTAATTACCTTTATATGTTTCTTCCACATTCTGTACTGTAGTTTGGAAACTTGTATGTTTTCATAAAGTGATGGAGAAAAATGTTACTATCACTGAAGTTAGTGTAACCTTCCTACAATGTTACTTATTGAGTATCATTAAGACCTGATTATATCCCTATAAATTTGGGTCACACAGTAAAATTCTCGTTTCATTAATTAAACATACCAGGAAGTGACTTTATGACTTAAACTTGAGGTCAAAGCACAGAGGGATTTTAATCAGGAATTAAACTTCATCCAGTGAATACACTTGAAGACGGATGCACAATTTTAGATTTATCATTCCATTAAGGCATATTAATACTAGATTTGCAGGAGATCAAAGGATTCAAATCCATTGTGAGCAAGAGGAAGGTTCAAAATGTGAAATTAATAGGATAAGAAACTGGATCACCAGTTCACAATCAAGATCAGTGGTATCCAAAAAGTAGCATTTATCTATTTGTTGGCTTTTGAGTGGCCTATTGTATGTAAAGTGAGTTTGTGGTCTCGTAGGGGACAAAAGAAACACCACAATTAAACACCATGCTAAATTATTAGCAACCTCAGCAGGAACCAAGGATTAAGGGACTGATCTCAGCTAAATCCATGGAGAGATTCAAAATGACTTCACTGGCAGATAGACTGGAACTTAGTTGTCGGCTGAACTGCTTTCTCTGCAGGGATGAGGTACAATGAGGCAATGCAGAAAATTTATGTTATCACAGATCACCCTATATCTGTTTGTTTGGTAAATAACCACAGGTGATCAGTCTTCAGGGCTGTCAATCAGTACCTTTCATGAGTCTATAGTCATATGGACAAGCAAATAGATTACATTAATCTCTACTGTTTCTAATTCAGCCTAAACACAACATGCTAAATCCCTTCAAGTGAATAAAGATTTGGACCCAAACTTTATATGACTGATGTGATTACAGTTGTAATGTGTGTTTCAGATTAAACAAGACTCCAGTTTTAATACTGGAAGAATAATTTGCATATTAAATAAATGTATGAAGGCAAAAATGTTACATTTGTCCCCCTGTAATGTACCCACTGATGCAATTATGAAGGTTTTTGTTCAGGTTATTAACTATTCACAAAAAGAATACATTAAACAAAAATTTTTTTTATAGTTTCTCTAAAAGGAAATTAACTTAGACTTGCATTTGTGACTTCTGCAGCTACTTTAACAACAAACAATGATTTTAGCATACCTTTGTCCATGATATACTTGTAGTCTGAAGTGCCTGACACTGTAGACAATTATTTTTTGACCAAAATTAGGCTCCTAAATATTTAGGTACCTGATTCTTCAAAAGTGAAGAGCACCTGTCAGCTCCCATTGAGTTCCATTTATACTAAGGTTTATATCATTCAAATTCTTCTATTAGGGTGGTGAGGGCTGTATCTGAGTATCCAAAAGTACATTAAGTGTGTGGCATATGCTGTTTGTTTGTTCTTTCCCTCTTCCTATGGGGATACTGCTTGGAGACTTATTTTTATTATATTCTATCTACACTATGCTGTATGTTAGCAAAGCCAAGCTCAAAGAAGTGCACATTACTCTGAGTGAAATCCGTAAAATTTGTGGTGTTTGTTTCTACAGTCCGGTAGAATCAGTTTCCAGGAGAGCTGTCTCTTACAGAGGCAAGTTTCATCCTACAAATGGACGGTGCCAGAGGAGTTAGCTGGTAACTATAGTCCTTGTCTCAGAGCCTGATTTTCCCTATGAGCAGTAGCCTGCATTTGAGTAGATGTGCCAACATGTTTTGTCCTAATTTTGTTTGAGGCCGGATGGCTTCATTTCCGGGTAGGTAGCAGTGCTGGCCTATTTAGACTATCTGAGCTTTAGGGATTCAGCTTCAGGCATGGCATCTTTTTCTGTATCTCAGATGGTGTGTCATGTTGTATATGTTTAGAAAGTAAGTGATAGACAGATTATATTTTAAAAAAAATCAATGTTATGGCCAAAATAAAAAGCCTGTTAGTCAAATTTATAGTTTTGTTGAGATGTTAGCAAATAGTAGGTGTGTGCATTAAAGTTATTACATTTTACCTGAATATCTCTTCAGACACCTGTAGTTATGTGTGTAGTGACTCATGGCCACATACAGATGCAACAGTCGTCAGTGGAAATTGAAGAGCACTCTGGCCCTTATCCAGCAAAGCACATGCTTAACTTTAAAGATGTGAGTAGTCCCATTAAAGTAAAGGACATAGTGGGGCTGGAGTGTTTCATCTCCAGCCGGATCAAACCCCAGCATCACAAGGTTGAATTCTCAAGAGTTCCATCCAGGCTGGAAAAGCTTATGCATTTCTCTTAGCATTACAATGTTCATGCTTTTGGTTCTCTCCAAAATGAGGAAGTACAGACGCAGGCAACAATTAAGTAGCCTGAACCTGTTTGAATGTCAAAATTGTTGACGTGAGTTTGGGGAAAAGGTCCACTTTCATTCTCATAACACTTAGCGAAATGATTATGTGAAATGTGTTTGGTTCTTGTCAGTTTGTGGCACAATAACATCTCTCTCTTAACTAAGCAATTTGTGAGAAGGTGAAGACAGGAGTGGATTGTAGAAACAAAAAAATGTTATTTAAATTTAGATAGAGATATTTTAAAGCTACCATCCAGTGTCATGGCTTTTTTATTATTCTGAAAAGTGTCAAAATGGGCAGGTGCTGGAATGCTGAAATTTTTGATAACCAAGTAAAAATAAAAGTATTTGAAGAGATGCCTAAAAGACTTAGGATCATGTAACTGGTATCTTAATGTATTTAATAGTCACTTCTTCCTTTTAGGGCCTATGCCATAAGCCCATTTACTTCAGTGGGCTTTGGATCAGGCCCTAAAAATCATTAAAGAAAATGATCTTTGAATGTCTTCGAAAGCTTGACTTTACAATGCTTTTTATTGATGCTCGATGACTAACGAATCATGAGCAAGAAACAAGAGTGAGAATGTAATATAGTATGAAGGTATCTGACACTTCAATTTAGAGGGAAGGAAGAGGGTTATTTAAAGAAGAAAAAACCTTAAAAATAATCTTGTGTAAATTAATGGATGATTTCATGTATAGTTTTTTTGGATGTGCATGGAAATGATTCCTCATGAGAGGAAAATAAAAGCAATAAAGTGCAAAAGATAAAAGAAATGAATTCTAGCATGAAAGTGAAAATGAGACACTTTGTGGATCTTATGATTTATGTCATCAACTTACACAACATCATTCAGCTCTAGTCTTGTATCTGGAGAAGGATTGATTAGGATGTAAGAGACGGTGTTTTGATGATCATTCATTTCATCTAGAGGACAAAAAATATACAGGATTTATTAGATTATTTACAAGGAAATGGTAAGAATTATAGCTTTTGCAAAATCAACCTTAACAAATTATGTTCTGTCCATATAGCTGTCAAAAGGGAACTATCAGGCTTGTTTCACAAAGTGACCGCATATATAAGTGCAGCAGCTTTTTTAACTGGAAAATCTACTTTCAAATTGCTTTTATTGGAAATATTTGACGGAAACTCATTATTTTTCCTAAGAAATTATCAAAATAAAGTACCAATATCTATTTTTGAGAAGAACTGCAGCAGAATACACTGAAGACTGTTACAGTTAGTGACCTCTGCTACCACAGAAGTAGCCAAGCTATTTGTATGTCCATTATTGTAGCAATTTCAATTTTTAAGAGCAACACAGAAATATTATCAGACCACCCAAACACCCACAACCAGGGGATATCACAATCAAACCTGGAAGATTAATCCCCTTACTGCTAACAAATGTAATTCTCTATCATCAATTGCTTTGGAAATGCTTTTATTTAATTTATCGCTTGTGAGTAAGCTGAATGGGAAAGTCCTTTGAGGGAACATCTATATATAATATCTTCCTCTTGCCAACATGTAATTGGCTGTATCATCACGTCACATTGGACAACTGAAACATTTTCTATATTTACATATAAATATACACCACACTTTGAAGGATCCCAAAGTACAAATGATTTCTATATTGCATGACTGAATTGCAGCCTCCACTGGCACGCATGCTGGCTACCAACCAGAATTTTGAACAACAGTGTGGGAAGGAATACTCCCCCCCAATAGATATTGCAGTTAATGCTCACACTTTCAAAAAAAAAAAAAAAAAGTGTCATGAGCTCCTTAGCATCCATGTAGAATAAAGGACTTTTAAGGTCTCAAAAGACCCACATAGAATGAAATACATAGCACAGGATGAATGGCTACATGGAGTCTACTAGGATTTGAGCCTGAAATTCTAGATAATTGGTGCTGAGTCGAATAATTCAAGTCCCATTTAGCCTTCAGTAGTCAAGCGGACTTCAATGCAAGACCCCCTAGTTATGCTTCTCATGCCCCTAAGGATTAGACTTCTAATGCCAAGTCACTGAGGACCTCTATCCAGACAAACAGTTAAGTATGTGCCTAAATCCCACTAACTTCAAGGAGACTTGAAGGTGTGACTAAGTGTTTTGCTGAATCCAGAGTCTAACTGATTTGCAGCACTGTGTACAAATGAATGCTTGTCAAGAATTAGGACTGGTAGATAGTTTGGGAACAAAGTCAAGCCTTCAAGGACTGTCTCAAATAAGAAATAAACACCTTATTTAATAATGGCAAGATCAAACTTGAGTAAAACAGATGTGTGCTTTGCTTTGGGCATTAATCCATTGGCTACCAGGGAGGTGCAAAGGCTGGGAGTTACATTCAACTCTCCGCTACACCTGAATAGTGGTGGAAGCTAGAAATGTGGTCGTCTAACTTCAATTGATAAAATTATGCTTGCCCCTCACAATCAAAGATATGGCCACAGTGCTCCACACACATTACTTTGATGTGGAAACTGAGGCGCTATGATGCCACAGTGGTGAATACTGTATAAACACCTACTATGATCCCACTTAAATAGTTCCACCAAGTTGAAAAAATACAATATTTTCTAATGGAATCATAAAGACAGGAAATATCTCTGGAATTGGTAAAACATTTCAGACCAGTGGAACTTGTTAAGGACGCTCAGTGTTCCTAGAGCTGACAACTAAAGACATAGCACACACAAAGATACACCATACATCAACTGCTTCTGATTAGGAACACTGCAGCCAATCTTCTAGGTGGAACAGGCACATGACAACTTCTCGCACCATCATTCAGAGAACTGGGTTAACTCTCCATTACTCGATACAATTCAAGGTCCTGACTAGGGCCATTGTACAAATTAGAAGTTACAGAACCAGCTGAAAATAACTTCCACTTCATTTGCCTCCCAAGTCCTGAGAGCAGGATTCTGTTTCTTCAGAGCTTTAACACTTAAATCAATGACTTAGGTTCCATATAGCAAATTCAGGTGCCTGAACATCACTGTTTGTAACTGCAGAATATCTTACCATCTCTTAAGATTATTTTGATTTGAAATGTATTTATTCTCATTGTAAATGTTGGTAAAAACATATTCTTTAGCTGGTTTCAGATCTGAAATTTTTTAATATTAAAGTAGGATAAATGAACTTAGCCGGAGATGAGAAATATCTGGATGAGAAATATTGTTTCTCTGAATGTGAAATGTTAGAATGCAGACAGTGGTACAAGCTGACTGCTGGCTGTGGAAATGACCAGCGTTTTAAATGATTTCCCCTCTATTTTCTACATTTGCCACTCTCAAGACAGTTCTTTATACAACATAATTTTCTGTTTAATGAAAGTGTCTTTCTTGTAGCATATGCATACGTTACTTGACAGGAAGCAGGGACATATGCTGCCAATTAGTTAAAAAATAGTTGGCTTGATTGGTGAATGCTAATATAAGTAGGAGTCAGAGGTTTTTTGCTCATTATTTCTTATAATACCCCGTCACAAATGATGACTGTGACAGTGGAGCTTGGAACATGTTCTATCCAAAAAGCCCATCTCCCCCCCCCCCCCCCAATTGTCACACACTGCCCTCTGGTATCTGTTAGATTGCTGTCTCTAGTTTTGTTTGATTTTAGTACCTATCCAAAATAGCATTCCAAATGAAACAAGTTTGTATTTACAAGATACGTAGATAAGGAATGTTTGCTCTGTGCTGAGTTCACTCTTGTTTGTTTTAAAGGGAAAATTTCACATTCTGAAAGAATACATGTACTTTTATGAATGATAATTATCAGAGACACCCTGGTTCTGGGTAGGTTTTATATTCAGATTCCCAAAGTCGCTGCTAATGTAATATATATATATATAGTACTCTGTGAGTTGGTTGATTCTCATATGTGTCACTAAATGTGGTGGAAAGAAAAGGAGGACTTGTGGCACCTTAGAGACTAACAAATTTATTTGAGCATAAGCTTTCATGAGCTACAGCTCACTTCATCGGATGTGGTGGGTAGACCAGCATGATTTCTCTGTGGGTTATCCACACACAGTTTTTATACCACTATAACTCTATATATTTGGAAAACAATATAAGTAGTGATACAAACTCCTAGTGTGAATGCAGTTACTAGTATAAAGATGCTGGTGCTTGTATCAGTTGAAATTTAGGGTCTTAAATTATTGGAGGATTTTCAGTGTTGTTGTAGCCATGTTGGTCCCAGGGTATGAGAGAGGAATGGTGGGTGAGGTAATAGCTTTTATAAGACTAACTTCTTGTTGGTGAGAGAGTGAGAAGTTGAAGATGATATCTGTGTAAGTTTGTCTCTTTCACCAACAGAAGTTGGTCCAATAAAATACATTACCTCACCCACCTTGTGTCTCTAATATGGGAGGATGTTGTTTGAGTCCTACTTGTAGATCCTTGTTCCCTGGATTAGTAGAAAATGAATGCTTAAAGAGGCAGGAGTCTTGGCTTCCTCAGGCTGTTTGAATGAACAGGGCTACAAAAGGGTTCCTATCCATTTCTTAGTGGGCAGCAAAATGTCTTGTTAGAGGGATAATTCTGGGGTGTGGTGGGGAGAGAGAAAGGATGGATCTTCAGGACTTAAAGGCCGAGAACTTTATGTGGAATTGGAGTGATGAAGCAACCAGTATAGTAAGATTTGGCATCTCAGTTTTGCAGATGGATAAATACATAGAACAGTAATGTTTTGTGCAGCATGAGACCATTAATGGGGTTGCCAAAAGAGAGGTTCTCTTTATAACAAAATACAGACATTTGTCTGAAAAAATATTGTAATGGAAATTTCTAAATTAGAAATGGCTCAAATAGATGTAATTAGCTGAAGAGGAGTGTGCTTACCTATCAAACCTTTTCCATTCTGTAGTTTCACATATTGTCTTCCTCAATTTGAATATTGAAATGAACATTAATGTTGGCTTTCAACTGCGATTTTAAAGAAAACCAAATTTCAGAAAAAGAAAATAAAAAAAGTAAAGGCAAGTATCCACCATATGCAGATTTTTCCTTTGGCTTGCATAAGAATGTGAGTCGAGATTATAGCAATATAATTTTCTGCTTTAACTCCCTGTCATGGATGAAAAGTTGGTGGGTTCTTCCTTTCTTTTTTAAATTCTCAGAAAATATATTTGAGCCTGATTCTTCCCTCAGATAAACTTGTGTGACTCCAATTAAGTCAATGGAAAGTGTGGATAATTATCCAGGGATCAAACTGGGGACATTTATTATTTGTATTACAGCAGCAGTGAAAGACTCAAGCTAAAACTGTGGCCCCATTGGGCTAGGTGCTGTATAAACACATAGTATGAGACAGCCCCTGCCCCAAAGAATTTACAATGTAATTAGATAAGACCAAGAGAGTCAGAGAAAGGAAATATTATTCACATGTTATAGATAGTGAACTGATGCATGAGATTAAGTGAGAGAGAGGTGTACAGTAACCAACAGCTGTGGAAGATCTAGTCTGTAGTTCTATGACAGTCTCCAGCCAGCCTGCAGATTATCTCACCTACTTATCTTCAAGGGTAGTTATGCTTTTTGTTTCTCCTATGTTATCAGTATAATCCCTATCAGTTTCTTCCATTTTTGCTCATACTCTTCCTTCTTTTAGGATACTTCCTGACACATTTTGTGGTTAATATTTGTTAAAATATCCATAACATCAGTTTTTACATTTTGTGGTTAAGATTACCAACATATATATAACAGCAGCTGAAGGTTACTGCTGGGTAAAAGTCCACTCTTTAAGATGGAGTTTTCTTAACTGAAGAGCATTATGAAAGTCTTGCTTAGAATCTTTCTGGGCCTATTTTAAGCTTCAACATTAGTTCCCAGACCCCCTTCATTCCTGCATGCATCTTCTGATACTGTTAACGAGTGACCTTTGTTCACGAACACTAGACAC